CCTCAAGACTTTATTTGAAACACCTTAAGAAGTTTAATAAATCCAATAAAACTCTATCATGTAGCATCCATGCTAGCTCTGTAAACAAACAAGCCGGCTGATGAGACGTCACGTCTTTTACTGCGCATGCGTGTCACATCAGTGCTGTGTAGCGTTCACACAGGAGTCTGATGCAGGTCACATTTAAAATGTAATGTGAACGTTCACACAAAAAGATCGGATTTTCAAAAAAAAATCTGAACTGAGCATTAAGACCTGCAGTGTGAACGTAGCCTTTGATTTCAGGCAGGGGGCCACGAGTCTGAGACCCCTAATGTAGAGGTACTGCTATGGTTGATATTGTCACTTGTCTTTTGTACAAATCGTTCCCCATCTAAGGCCTTTGGAGCATTTCAGTTTATACACATACTTATTTAGAATACCCACAAAAGGAATGTTAAAAATTTAGGCAAACATTTAATCCCATCAGACGCTGTTGTTACAAACAAAGGTGTGTTATTTCAAGTTGCTGTCTATGTATTTTTTAAACACCTTGGTAGAATGCACATCACACACACATGGGTGAGGTGGCTTTTCTGTTGGTGTAAGAAGAGCACCTTTTAGTAAACATGATTGACACGAGTAACCCTGAGAGAACCAGTAGATGTGACTCACCTCCACTTTGCTTGTGGGGTCAGAGGGGATGGGCAGCAGCAGATCACGCCAGATGACCTCATTGTTCTCGGTCCGGGTCTTCTCAGCATTACTTGTTGAATGAAAAAAGTGACATTTTATAATCTTTTTTAAAAATAGATTCATCTCTAGTTCTGACAGATAAGTCTCATTATTGAGACCTACTTATCTTTGGATATTTCTATGAACTAGTGTTACAGTTCGAACAGAAATGAAGCATTTGAGATCAAATCAACTAACCTGCTCAAATAAGTGAGTACGTCCCCCAAAGATGCATTTCGTGGTTGAACATGACTTCCACTGATACAAACAGCACACCTGAGCTGGGAGAAACATTCAAACTCATGAAACACATGCCACTTGAAGGTTCTGCCAAGAGAGATTCATCTTACCTTTACAACTTCGGAATAAACAGCCATTCTCAGGGTGATACTGGTGCCCAGTGACAGACCCAACATGGCGATTCTGCTGCCAAGGATCTGTGGATGCTGGGACAGGACTCTGTAGGCCGTCTACAGGAGGAGAACGTGTTACAGCTACGACTTGTTTCTGGTCTAATGTCTCATAATCACACAGTTTATACTGACTCATTAGCTGGCTTCATGCTAAACGATTTCACAGCAAAACTGCAACAATCTCAAAGTGTGATATTTGTCCTGAAGTGGCTCTTATTTCTGAAAACCTCATAGTCACGGAGCCTTTTTTATTTGATAAATATTCCATATCTGTCCAAGAGAAGGCATTTCTTAACTCCAAGTGCCTCAGTGACCCCAAAACATCATTGTGCCTTAATCTAGTTTTAACATACCAGTGCAGTTTTTAAATCTCTACAAATGGAAACAAGAACTGCTCTAGTCCAGCTTGTAGCATCAGTGGGACCAACTGAACAAATTTTGCTTTCATTTATTTACTGTTTTCGTTTGCACAATTTTTAAATCATGACTTTTTAATTTTAGGACACAGGGTAACTTGATAAACATTAACAATTTTCAGGTGAGGCCAAAAAATTACGTTGTGTGATTTAATTGCAGTGACTTCAAACAACTTACAGTTACAGGAAATTTGACTCCTGAGACAAAAATAATCAGTGTTACTTTACTGCTTTACAGACACCAAACTTTTACATGTCCTCCAAAGTGTTAAAGAATAGCTTCTTACTGAATTTGCGTATGTTTTTTTTTGTTGTTTTTTTTGTATTTTGGGGGTTTTATGGGTGAACGCTGGTAATGCAGTCACACTGACAGAACATCACTGATATCAACTACAATCTGAGGGAAGAAAAGATACTCTTAAATTACATTTTAAGGCAGAAATTCACTGAAAGTAGAAAATGAAGCCATGTATGTTTAGGTTGGATCAACAAAGTTCAGAGGGCTCCTTCAGTCATGATTTCGTCACATCGTGGTGAATCAGTGTCAGGACAGATGAACTTCAGACCCAGTTTCCTTACACACACACACACACTCACACACACACACACACTCACACACACACGCACACACACACACATATATATATATATATATATAGTCATAAAATGATCAACTTTATATTTTAATTATGCCACTTTTGTTGGTAACATTTATGATAACACCTGGACCATATCAGCAACTTGATCCAATGTTCGGATCAGTTTAAAGGACAATTTTGTTCAAAGTTTAAAGAGCTGAACTTTCACTTTGTTGCTCTGAAGTTCTCTGAACCTGGAACATTGTTTCAATAATTGTCTAGGTATGAGGATATTCAGCAATGATCAATACCATGTTCATCAGCTGAACTGTCATTGGCCGGTCAGATCTTTGCTGGATTTTCAGATACTTGCCTGCTGTGAATGTTTTTAAATCTGCTTTTTCTCGTTTAGTTCCACTTGTTCAGATTTGTCATAAAACACATTGGTGATGGTGGATTTAAAAGTATGTGTTTTAAACTCTTTAAAATAAATCATTGTATGCCTTTGAAATGGTTTCCAATGGCATTTAAGAAAAAATTTATGGGTTCTTTGTAAAAAAATTAAAATCAGATACCAAACTGATAATAATATTAAAACTAGTGAGTTGACCAGAGCCAATGGGCCTCATGCAAGAACCGTTCGTACGCACAGATTTGTTCTTAAATTGTGCGTACGAGTGATTTAGGAGAATTTGTGGCATTCACC